TGAATTTATCAAATCCCATACAGAATTTATAAGCTCACTTGCAACAAAAAAAAGAAAAAAAAAAAGAAAAAAGAAAAAAAGAGAGACTATTTAATAATATAAAGGTGTCCATTTGAGTGCAGGATGCAATTCTCTCAAAAAGTTGTTATATGACAGGTCCAAGGTACTGAGGAAATGGAACTGGGACATCCTTGAAGGAAGCTAGCCTGAAAGCCTATTGTGTGAAAGATCAAGCGACTCCAATTGTCCCATCCGCCCAATATCTAGCGAAATCCCTCCTGTCAAATGATTTCTTGACAAATTCAATTGAACCAATTGAAAGAGGCTCCACATTTGCATTGGAATTTCCCCCATTAATTTGTTGCTTGAGAGATCAATAATCGTCAAATTTCTGAGACATTCATAATGATACTCTACTCCTTTCCACACGACTGATGCTTTGTTAACATAGAATCCTGTCATAGCAAAATTCACAAAATAATGATATTCTTCCACTAAAATGTATTCTCTAGCCAAGGCAGTTAGATTACCAATGCACCATCGTATGCGTCCAAAGAGACTGTTATTAGAGAGGTCTAGCAACAGAATATTAGTCAACTGGCATATCTGCAAGGAAATCTATCCATAAAAATGATTGGATTTTAGGATGAGGAAATTTTATAAACTTAACCCTTCTCCAATCCAATCTGACAATATTCTAGAGAACTTATTATAACTTATGTCCATAAATCGCAAATGACTGCAGTTTCCTAAAGATTAAGGTATTTCCCTAGAAAAGTTGTTGTTTTGCAAATCAATTGTTTCAATGAAAGACAAGGAACCAATTGAGCTTGAATTTATTCCAAAGAAACGATTGTTAGCCAAATTCAAAATAATTAGATTTGGCCAATGCATCAAACAATCAGAAAGCTCTCCAGATAGCTGATTGTAAGAAAGATCAGGAAGGGTAAGTCTGATACCATTGGTTGTGGTACAAAGAGAAGAAATTGACCCAGAAAACCTGTTTTTTGAGAGGTTTATGGATGTGCTATTAGCAGGAAATGGTGGTAACGGACCCTCCAAATTATTGCAACTCAAGTCTGTCCCAAGAAAACCAAAATACCTCGTTGACAAATCAGGCAAAAGTCCATTAATCTGATTGGAAGAAAGATCTACAATAGCACAATTAGAAGTAGTAAAGTTCCAAAAGCAGATGAGGATGCTACCTGAACTGAAATTCCACTCGCAGAGATATTAAGAAACCAATAGGTTTTTTGGGTTTGTAACCAACTCGGAAAATCAGGGCCCAACTTGCATAGCCCAAGATTTATGTAACCCAACTGGAATGGAGGAATCCAGTTATGACTAAAGTTGATAATCAAGAAGAAATTAGAAGACAGGTCCAAAGTTCCTAACTCAAATTGTGTTGAGAAGTAATTCTTCAGTGATTACCTCATCAAAAGAGTTGAACGAAAGATCAAACGACGCAAGATTTGAAAGGAGTCTGATATTTTTTGTCACAGTAGCACTCAGATTATTTCTTCCAAGGGACAACTCTCTCAACAATGAGAAGTTTGTTATCCGATCAGATAGGACTCCCACAATTCCACCATTATCTGAAGCCAAATCTTCCAAAGATAGCTGCAGACATCCAGATAAGTTACCTATGAGTTCATGAAGCGTTCCTCCCAGTCCCAGATGGTTACCAGACAGGTGTAAAAGCCTTAATTTGCACATGTTCCTAAAGGATTTTGGAATCCCTCCTTCAAATTGATTTTCATCAAGATATAGGTGTTCCAAAGAAGTCATGTGACCGAAGGTTTCTGGAATCGAACCTTGAAACACATTTCTACCTAACATGAGTAGGACGAAGCTATTGCTTAAGTTGAAATTGAACAGCCACTGGAATGTGAACGTAGTCATATTATTACTGCTAGGGTCAAGGACAGCAAGGGATGTCAAATTATTAACCCTGGGGAAGGACTGAGGAACAACATCTAGAAGATTACAGAAATCGAGCTGCAGGTCTGTTAGATGAGGGAGCTTGTTAACCACCTGCAGCCAGTTATTAACCTTACTAAGGTTGATTGTACTCACATCAAGGTATTTCAAAGAAGAAAGATGGGAAAGCCACTCAAGATTTTTGATACTGTCGAAGGAATTATGTCTAAGATCAAGTAGTTGCAGACTTGTGAGGTTCCCTAACTGACTGAGAAGATGTCCACCTAAACCAGAACCACAAGAAAAGGGATCAAGACATTTTTTAGTTGGCTAAAGTGAAATGATAGATTTTGGGATGCGGTTAAAATTAAAGCCAATCCAACCAAGATACAAATAAGTTAAAACTCTGCAACTCAAACAGGAAAGGACATAGCTTACCTCTTAAAGAGCAATCCTGAAGAACAAGCTCAATTACGGGCCCAGTTGCCTAGCTACACTGAACTCCTCTCCATTTGCAACAATCCCTTTTCCCTTCTTCACTTCACCAGGAGGAAAGCACACCATAGTCATCAACCAAACCTTGCTTAAATGCAAGAAGTACTTGTCTTTCCCTCTCTATGCACCTAACTTCATGATCTTCTTCTGTTGAATTGAAACGGCACTTCTAATCTGCGGTAAAATCACAATTAAAAAGACAAGCAGAGAGTTCCCTCCATCCAAAACCATCATGTTTTGAGTGAAAATAACAAAATCAAGATCAAGCAGAACAAAAATGAAGACTGTCAAAGAAAAATTGTGGAAACTTAACCATTTGGTTCTGTTGTCTGAGTTTTGGAACCCTTCAACTTATATGAACAGCTACAACAGAACGCAATGAACAGATGTCAAAAGGGAACATAAAAAATTATAAGTGAACCATAAATTAGACCAAAACTGGTCATCAATTAGACCTTGTTTAAAGTTGAGTGCTTTGTCTTTCACTCTCTATAACAGTCTTTTTCTACTTAATTTATCATCTTTTCCATTTGCTAGCATCACTCTCACATCATTTTGATCGTGTAGCAAATGAAGCAGTGCAAGCATTTTGAAGAACCTTGAGGGAAGTGGAGAAATAAGAGAATATAATGTAAAGGCATCAGCTAAGTGAGGGAATTCATATGTGTGCAGAGTTCATTTCAGTACGATTAGTTTAAAATCAGATTTTCCCTGAAGTATCCTGATTATTTAGGAAGGAAGAGAAAGTGAGTTTAAATTACACATATTATGCAATTGTTAAGGATAAAAATCTCATCAAGAGGAAGTGTAATTAATTGAAGATTTTATTGAAGAAAATAACACTAGTGAGACTAGATGTTGTCCGAAAAGATGTCATGTGTGAAGAATAATTTATATGATCTTTTCTTGACACTGATCCTGTGATAATTAGAAAGGACCCTCTATACCCAAAACTATTATTTTTGAAAGTGGTATGAACAGAATGAAGATCAAACTGAACCAGAGTGCAAACTGTGTCAAGGAAATTTAATATTTTGTGAAACTACAAGGAGAAGATATTTAGTGTAGGGAGAAGATTAAAGAAAGATAACCAGTCTGACAAATTTTAACAAAAAGTCAGGCTGGAGCAGCAGAATTCAACGCTGAGCCTGTGAAACACAATCAAGTTGAAGAAATGGAAGAACATTGACTTGTTGACTTATTAACCAACTTTGGAAATCTTGTTTTTCGGAAGCATCGTATTAAAGTTATTGAGAATGCAGCAAAGAAAAGAGGACTGACCTTTGATTGCAATTATAAGCAAGAGATCCGTAAATAAAAAATTAAAAAAAAAAAAATCATTAGCATGATTTCTATCTAATTTATCTCATTTTTATAATTTGATTAAAGTATACCATTCTATCAACTAAAACATGTTGATAAGAGTACGGGCATCAAATTTGCAGAATTCAGATTTCAGTCTTATTTCTGCTGTAGCTCGCTCATTCTTCATTCCTTACAAATTAGATGGTGGAATAAAAACAAGCAAAACACAAAATCATACAATAAAACACACATAAAGCATAATTTAGCACACAAAAGGGAAATAAAAAGGTGGTCTTGATGTGGTAGCTAAGAAAGCCTGTAATTTTACTCTTTTTTTCCTGAGATAACAAAACTTACCTTGGAATTTCACTTCACAAGAAAACGTCAAGGCCTCGAATTCTGTAGAAGCACCTGAAAAACAAAGCAGAGGTGACTGTCTGTTATTTTCAATGAAGTATGTAGTTCACTTGAACAAGATGACAAAGTTATAGAAAAACTTAAAACATACCCTCTTCCTTGTGCCCCAGGGAAACAAGTTGAACGTTCTTGAAATCTGGTAGCATTAACTGTTACCACCAAACAAAGTACTGCCTTCAAGTTACTGAGGCAGATCTTCATGTAGTCAAAGTCAAACAACAAGAAGCAAGCATGTTTCCATGGATAGTCCAAGTTTAAAGCCATAACTCCGAGAAAGCCAAAAGCCATCATTCCAATTCCATACTGGGTTTAAATTCTTTCCAAAATTCGTCTTCATCATCTTGATTGTACTGGAACCACCATCTGTAGGTCTTTCATCACCAAAGCATGTTGGTGTTAGAGGA